ATGAGACTGAAACTGTATTCAGTGTTTCGGAGTATATTTTACTAGACGTGGATGAGAATTATTTCTAAATAAAATCATATTTTTTAATTTTCTTACAGTGTTATAAACATTTTTAGGTTACACGAAACCTTGAATAATGAAAACAATAGTTCACCGTCGTAACAGTTTCAACAATTGAATATTATCATACCACTTCGTAAATTTTACGTATTTAAATTCTACTGACGATGTTAATTATATTAGTAGTCAGAATTTCAGTATCAGTAATACTATATGTAAACAAACATAGATTTTGGAAATTAAGGCCAAATTGAATATGCGCCGTATGTAATATTGACGTGAAATTTATGAAAACCTTTCAATTCTGAATACAAATTGTTTGCTTTGAGGAATATATGTTTAAGTCACAAAATAAATACTCAATTGTACTTTAATTTCTCACTAAGTATATTTACCAGCATATTGTCTTTTGACATAAATGATCTCTTTCAATATACATAAACTTAGATGAGAAAGACACCAAAATTGAATAAAGAGCAATTTAGTTTTACTTGAATGGTATTTCTTATTATTAAGTTGATGTGATGGAATGTAACATTAATTATCTTAATAATAGATATAATTGTAGACTCTAAATATTAACAAATATGTGAAACAATTAGTCCCTTGGATAATGTAATAAGAAGACGAAGATTATCAGAACTATGAATTCCGAAAAATCTGATCACACATATACTTGTTAAGAACATTTATATATAAAAATAAAAGGTCAACTAGAATAGAAATGGGAGATATTCAAAACAGTTTGTTCTCACCTTAAACCTACTCTGACAATATTAGCTTATTATCCAGCGTGAGGAGGTTTTAAATTGTCTTTCATATTATTTTCTTTATTAAAAAATATATTTGAGTTATATATATAGTGATATTTTCAATAAATAACCAAACAGATTGGTTAACATAAAGTAAAGTTTTTTTGTGGTTTGAAGTTTTCGGGTGTTGAGTATCTTGCGTAGACAACCATTTATAAATACTTGTACCTTCTTGATGGTGGTTGTTGTAGTTCCTCAAGTTTCAGCTCCGTACAGTAGAACTGCCTTGACGTTCGTATTGAAGATCCTCACTCTGATATTGGTTGAAAGTTGTTTTGAGTTCCATATGTTCTTCGATTGTAGGAATGCGGCCCTTGCTTTGCCAATCCTCGCTTTTACGTCTGCATCCGATCCTCCCTGTTCATCGATGATGCTGTTCAGGTACATGAAAGACTCCACATCTAGAGTATCGCCATCTAGTGTGATTGAGTTGGTGTTCCCCGTGTTGCATTTGAGGATGTTGCCTTTTCCTTTGTGTATATTGAGGCCTACTGATGCAGGGACTGCTGCTACACTAGTTGCCTTCATCTGCATTTGTTCGTGTGTATGGGATAGGAGGGCTAGGCCATCTGCGAATTCCAAATCGTCTAATTGGTTCTGAGCTGTCCATCGTATTCCGTGTTTTCCCTCAGATATCGAGGTCTTCATAATCAAGTTAGCCACCAGAAGAAAGAGGAAGGGGGGAGTAGACTGCAGCTCATCTAAGGTTGCTTCCGGTCCCAAGCCCAGGTAAAGGAGGAAGGGCGGGCATGGGGTTAGCGACCCTATCCGTAGAAAACTTACTGGCTAAAAAAACGATAACCAGAAAAAAAATCCAAACCATTTATATGATATAGTTTTTATCAATATACTCATTATTGATGGTATTTTTAGTAGGAAGATTACATAAAACCAACAAGACCAGCACCAATGCAGTATTTAATTTGGGGAAATATTTACCACTATAACAAATGAACATAAGTTAGCCTACTTATGACGGAAATGATATATTTTCGAAATAAGGAGTAATAATTAAAGAATTGACGTTTAGTGAGCTTGATAAAAGCACTCATTTACAGCAACATAGAAACTAATACATTTCATAGCGAATGATTTCCGCTCATTTATAAGTGGTACGGCAACTCGAACTGATGTACGTACGTACGAAGTTCTACGTTGTTACTGACTGACAAAAATTTATAAGTAAACTTTAATTATTTAGTGATTGAGTGATATTCAGCAGATTGATGATATTCAAAATCCTTCTAGACTGCAAAAATACTTGACGGAAGTGTGCATTTGTAAATTGAATGCGCGTATCTGGATTTCAATAAATATAGCAAATAACGTTTAGCTGTTTATATGTAATCTGATACGGAAGAAGTTTGCAAACGATTAAAGAACGCGGTATTGTGTTAGAGCTGAAATTCATAACAATTTTACAAGACTTGTGAGAGATTGGTGACGATATACAGATTAAAAAAAGTGAATTTTAATTGGCATAAAGTTCAATACGTAGTTGTATGTTACTCAGTATCAAATTACAGAGTAGTGGAGCGAGTTTTCGGTTGCTAATATGACCTTTCGGATAAAAATCTGTTTTAACCAGATATTAAATAAAAGTTTATTAGTTTAAAGCTAAGCACAACACGAATAATGCCTGAACTGAATCGGACGTGAGGTTGAAAGCTAGGATTATCATAACACACCCCTCTTAATGCACCTTAAGCTCACAATAAGTTATCATTATTGTTAACATTTTCTACATCGTTCTACATATTTTATGCATACCATTTAATTTATTATTATTACAATGGTTATAACTCGTCATCTTACAACGAATCATTCTGACCTTTAGCAAATGACCTTTCTAAATTACAAATAACACAATTTTGATGTAATTATCTCGTGACGGATGCAAAGGTTAACCATTTTTAACACATAACATTTGAAACAGTTACTGAGACTATGTACTAAGAATGTGCAGTTCCAATTTAACAATAAATTATACTGTCAAGCAGATGGGGTGGCTAAGATCAGTTTTTTAGGACCTAAAAGCAAATTCCTTGGCGCGAAATTAGTACCAATGTACACGACACTATGCTCATGGACATAAACAAATATAGGTAAATATCCGTCAGGAAATATTTCCAAATGCACACATCATTCTACATGTGCATTTAAAAGTGTATAGATTGAAAGATGGACATCTACCAGTTATAATAAGCATATTTCAATAGCACACCACCTGCTTGACACGCGACACAATGTGTATTTAGTGGACGTGTTACTGAAATCCACAGAACCCACAACATTTAGGATGCCTTAACCTGACCTTGTACACAAGAAGAGTCGGGAGTAAACATTCAAATGTGTTGGAACCATTCTGACCACTTCATTTTTCGACTGCATGTGATCACGGTTAGGTAAGTTGAAACCATGTCAACTTTCCTTTTCTAAGCTTCCGAAAATGCCATATCAACCAATAAAATTAATATCGAAATTCTAGAACTAGAACCTTATTAAGTTATAAAAAGATCTACTCCGTGTTGTTTTATCGAAATTTATAAAAAGATCATTACTTTTAAAACTTTTTCTTAACTTCTTCCATACTATGCATAACTTTTTTAATATCGATTGAAATTAGTATCATACTCTTAATTGGAAATAATTAAGCATACTAACTTTTATGCAGCTGAAGAGAAATCAATAGAATATAATGAATTCGTCGTATTATCTAAATATTGTCGTTCTCCCTTTGTTTAAATTTCTGAAGGGAATAGTTCCAACTATATTCGTTATTTTTAAATGAATTCATTGATCTTTATTTGCCTGCCTTCAGACGTATTACTGTTATTCACAAACCATTATGGATTTCCACACATAAACAATCGTTTACAATATTTTAAGCAGAAATTGATGGTAGCTAGCATTGAAATCCAGGATGGGCGTTTCACCCTATTTGGGACTCGTCAGCTGGATCCACCTGATGCGCGAATAATGCGATGGCGTTAAAAACCAAAGGTACTGGATTTGAGTCCCAGAGTGAACACCAACTCTGGGGTGCAGGTATATCCATCTGACGAGTCTCAAGAGGGACGAAACGCATGCTCTGGTTTCCACAACTACCTATCATCCATTTTTGTTTAAAATGCTTGTGATTTACTGGCAACATCGAGGCGATACGCACAGAAAGCACAAATGCCAATTCCAGGCCTCAACATCAATGGGAAGATTCAAACAACCAATATTTAAAAATTAAAATTGTTTACAACAGTCCCACTAATATTTACATAATACTTATTGTTATAGTTTGTCTAACGGATTCCATGATAATTTGGCGATTAGAGAGTAAATTTAAATATTTATGAAAAACTGTTTAAAATGGAAATACTAAATGAAAATTTATGAACCTTGTTACACAAGTTTGTTTGTGTCAATAACTTACATCATTAATACATAACGGTTATTACAATGTTAGGTGTACTAGTTCACATACATGGTTATTTCGAAATATTTACTATTATAAGTATGCCAATTTTGTGAATTAAACCAAATAAAGCTACATAGATATAAGTCATCACTCGCCAATCATTTGGCATAACATATTCCTAGTTGAAATATCGAAATCAATAAATAGTACTAACCATTATACAATAACTTAGAAAAGTAACTTCTGTCAAACAAAATGGATTTCTGAATCATCAAAATAACAGTTCATAGTAGATAATACTCTATATGCAACAACTTTATTTCACCCCATTATTTGTCAAAGTGATAGACACATTTTAATATATTTGTAAGTTATGGTAATGTAATAACGCGTAATACTGAAGTTTGAGAAACACATTTAATTCAAATCATTGAGTATTTAATAATGAAAGTATAAGTAAAAAGAGATATAAAAGGAAAATAATATTAAATGCAATCAGTTTGAGATCACAGAATATTTTTGTAAGAAAAACATATTAAAAACAAACTGATTTGGTTGTTCACGAAAACGATAATTATAATCATAATCATAGTAACGAATAAACGACACGCACATATGACTAAGCGAGAGAAAAAAGCAGGAAACAAACATTGTATTAAATTATGCAGCAGTTATGATAGTCTTGAACAATACAAGATTCAATAAAATTGGATCATTTAGAGAGGCATTTCAAATTCGTATTTTTCTTCTTCAAACTCCTGAAAATAGGAAACCATAAATTGATGTTATAAATGAAAGATCTATGAAACTTTTGGATCATGATATAAAAAATTTATTTAGCACCATGTATATATTTTCGCAGAACAAAATGATTAGGTTACTAAATACAAACTGAACGTCTATATTTAGTTAGTTATTATCGTTTCGGTGAATTTTCTTAACGTTACATATTATAAACCGTTCCGTATAAATTCAATGAAGTACAACAATGATAAAAGGACTCAATATTAGTAAATTGAAATCCAGTCTTAATATAATAACCACTGTTCCATGATTATAAGTTAACTTCTGTTGTAAATATTAATAGTACTCATCATATTGCACGGAAAGTAGTTAGTTGTGAAGTTCACTCATTAATATGAAAGAAAACTCTGTAAATGTTGACCAACGATCATAGATGAAGTTTCTCGGTGAATTTTGTTTACTATTTGAACGACCAAAATGTTGGCAGGATAAGTTTTCTACTTGCGTAAATTAAAGTAGTATACTTTGATAACAAAAATATCGCCAACCATTTCACTCAACGAAGACCCTTTCATTATAATTATTATTCATTAGATTGAAAGCAAGGAAATGTGTTCGACATAAATCTAATGATGTATCAGCGTGGAGGATTATTTTACAAAGAAGTTATTCCCCACCACCATGTTTACTATTTTATTGGCTGCATTTATAACAGGCTCCAGGTATCAAAAAATAAATTAACGATTAAACCACGATATTATGCTTAGTCATATAAATTAGAGCTGAAATTTCATCTACATATCTCTTGAATTTGCAAGTTAATCCAATAAATATGTAGAAATTGGGTGCCAGTAACAGCTTAAGTGTATAGAAGAGAGTATAAGATAATTAAATTTAAATGAAATGCAATAACTAATACCTATATTCTAAAAACCCGCTTCAAGACTCCACTGGTCGACTTGATGATTTCAAAGCTATCTAAATAAACAAAAATACTAAACCATATTCTAAATACTTCAGTGTATTTATTCCAAACAAAATTACAAATAGAGACATGTTTGTTGACTTACAAAGAACTTAGATTTAAGTTTTGAATAATTTTCAAAGAAATACTTTATTATCTAATGAAAAATATATCCACTTAGCTAATGGCTTCTTCTTGAAGTATCTGATCTCCTGAGATTCAAATTTTATTACAACGATCACATGTATTCCTCCATCTTTGTCAAGTGACCATACAGTTAGTGACTGTTTTGGTATTTTTCAATCGATAGTTTCGTTATAAGACTTGGTTGTTGGAGTATATAAATTACCAAATACATAAATTTAAATTAATACTCACTGAAATAACGCTGATTAATTTATATCTTCGTGATTAGACTATAATTTATGTGTGACCTTTAAGCGATGCTAAGGCGACGTTGAGAGAATTCATTTACTTACTACGGTCAAAAGAGGGTTATGAATAACTGAGGAATAAGGATTAATATTTTATTTAAAGTTATGATAAGGGGTTGGGATTGGGATTTTCATCACGAACTGACATTAGTTATAATCCCAAAATGTTATCTATCCATATGGATGAATGGATTTTGCGCCAAAATCCAAGACCTGCTATCTTAAATCTGTTTAGTTCGTCCATAAATTATAGTCTCGTCTGTCATCGGTTTTAGTACATATCTGATCTCTAAACGAATGTAATACCGAACCCTCATGATACTTGTAAATTATCATAAAACACGAATTTGACAACAATGTTGTTATCCACAGTATTGCCAAGTAAGCAAAAGGGATAGATAGCTATTATTTCAGATGTTTCAGTTTCGAGAACTAAGTAAATGCAATCTTCGTTATAATTCTTCCTCCTAGTGCATTAATCAACTCCGCCTGGAGTCCCTCCGGGGGCTACTGCCAGTCTCAAATCCGGAGAAAGTAGGAGGGTTGGGCATGTGGTTAGCGTCCCCATCCCGTAGAAAACTAACTCGCTAAAAAAACGCTAACCAGAAAAAATTATTCAAACCTTTTAAACTCTGTCCTGGGAGTCAGAAGGTCTTCATTTAGAAGAACTATAACGCCTCATGATGAAAGCCGAATTCCTTCGGAAGTTACGAGGCCGATACCCCTTCTGAAAACCAGAGCAACCATTTATTAAGGAACATGGAATGTTCGTACATTGTGGGACACCGGGAGAGCCTTCCAAATTGCTGCAGAAATGAGAAGATACAACCTAGAGGTACTTGAGATCGGTGAAACACATTGGACACAAGTTGGACAACAACGACTAACTACAGGAGAGCTCCTGTTATACTCCGGCCATGAAGAAGAAAATGCCCCACATACACAAGGAGTTGCAGTGATGCTGTCCAAACAAGCGCAAAATGCGCTTATAGGATGGGAATCTCATGGACAAAGGATCATCAAAGCCTCCTTCAAAACAAAAAAGAGGGTATTTCAATGAACATCATCCAATGCTATGCGCCTACCAACGACTACAATGAAGACGCTAAAGATCAATTCTACAATAGGCTGCAGTCAATCGTCGAGAAGTGCCCAACAAAGGACCTGACCATTCTGATGGGAGATTTCAACGCCAAGGTTGGAATGGACAACACTGGATATGAAGACATCATGGGACGACACGGACTGGGAGAAAGAACCGAAAATGGTGAGAGATTTGCAAAACTATGTGCCTTCAATAAACTGGTCATAGGCGGCACCATATTCCCACATAAACGCATACACAAAACCAAATCGACCATATCTGCATCAACAAAAAGTTCAGGAGGACGATGGAAGACGTGAGAATCAAGAGAGGAGCTGATATAGCCTCAGATCATCACTTGTTGGTCGCCAATATGAAATTGAAACTCAAGAAGCACTGGACAATTGGGCGGACAACATCAGAAAAGTTCAATACGGCCTTTCTTCAGGATACTGACAAACTCAACAAATTCAAGATAGTCCTCAGCAACAAGTTCCAGGCCTTTCATGATTTACTCAATGGAGAAGGAACTACTGGGGAAAGCAACTGGAAGGGGATCAAAGAGGCCATCACTTCAACATGTCATGAGGTCCTGGGTCACAAGAAGCACCATCACAACGAATGGATCACTGATGATACACTGGATAAGATTCAAGAAAGGAGGAACAAGAAAGCAGCAATCAATACCAGCCGAACAAGAGCAGAAAAAGCCAAGGCACAAGCTGAATACACAGAAGTAAACAAACAAGTGAAAAGGAGCATCAGAACCGACAAACGTAAATATGTGGAAGATTTAGCAACGACGGCGGAAAAGGCTGCAAGAGAAGGAAATATGAGACAATTGTATGACACGACAAAGAAACTCTCTGGAAATCGCCGCAAACCAGAACGACCAGTGAAAAGCAAGGAAGGCGAGGTAATCACCAACATTGAAGAGCAACAAAACAGGTGGGTAGAACACTTCAAAGAACTCTTGAATCGACCAGCTCCACTGAACCCACCCAACATCGAAGCAGCACCCACGGACCTCCCAATCGATGTTGGCCCACCAACAATTGAAGAGATCAACATGACCATCAGACAAATCAAGAGTGACAAAGCAGCAGGACCAGAAAACATTCCAGCAGGGGCAATAAAAGCGGACGTAGCGGCAACTGCAAGGATACTCCACATTTTCTTCAATAAGATTTGGGATGAGGAACAAGTACCAAAAGACTGGAAAGAAGGACTTCTGGTCAAAATACCGAAGAAAGGCGATCTCAGCAACTGTGATAACTACGGGGGCATCACTCTTCTCTGAATACCAGGAAAAGTCTTCAACAGGGTATTGTTAAACAGGATGAAGAACTCTGTAGACGCCCAACTTCGCGACCAACAGGCTGGATTCCGTAAGGATAGATCATGTACAGACCAAACCGTAACTCTACGGATCATTATGGAACAATCAATTGAATGGAATCCATCACTTTACATCAACTTCATTGACTACGAAAAAGCATTTGACAGCGTGGACAGGACAACACTATGGAAGCTTCTTCGACACTATGGCGTGCCTCAGAAGATAGTGAATATCATACAGAATTCCTATGATAAATTAAACTGCAAAATCGTGCATGGAGGACAACTGACAAACTTGTTCAACGTAAAAACCGGTGTCAGGCAAGGTTGCTTACTCTCACCCTTTCTCTTTCTCCTGGTGATCGACTGATTCATGAAGACGTCAACATCTGGGGAGAAGCATGGGACACGGAAGACTACCTAGACTTTGCAGATGATCTGGGTCTTCTATCGCACTAGTGTAGCAGCGGCCTCAGCAGCAGTAGATCTCAACATACACAAAGGGAAAAGCAAGATTCTCCAAAACAATACAGCATGTACCAATCCAATCACAATTGACGAAGAAGATTTGGAAGATGTAAAAACCTTTACATGTCATTGATGAACACGGTGGATCTGATGCAGATGTGAAGGCATGGATCGGCAAAGCAAGAGCAGCATATCTACAATTGAAGAACATCTGTAACTCAAAATATCTGTCAACCAACATCAAGGTCAGGATTTTCAATACAAATGTCAAGACAGTTCTACTGTATGGGGCGGAAACCTGGAGAACTAAGAAAGCCATCATCCAGAAGATACAAGTTTTTATTAACAGTTGTCTACGCAAAATACTTCAGATCCGTTGGCCGGACACGATTAGCAACAACCTACTGTGGGAAAGAACAAACCAGATCCCAGTGGAGGAAGAAATCAGGAAGAAGCGCTGGAAGTAATAGGACACATACACAGTGAGGAAAGCACCCGACTGCGTCACAAGACAAGCCCTCACATGGAATCCTCAAGGTCAAAGGAAAAGAGGAAGACCAAAGAACACATTACGCCGGGAAATGGAAATAGACATGAGAAAAATGAACCAGAATTGAATGAAACTAGAAAAGAAGGCACAGGACAGGGTGGGTTGGAGAATGCTGGTCTGCAGCCTATGCTCCATTGAGAGTAACAGGCGTAAGTAAGTAAGTGCATTACCCTGTTTTTTACATCGAAAATCTAAAATCGAATGCTCAAAATAAAGATAAATTTCACATCTAAAAGTTTAAATGAGAAAGGAAATACTCAATTACCTCCCAGTTAGCAACAAAATTATTTCCTTTAGTGTTTTGCAAATTTTGCACTTCACTAGAGTTTCCTGAACTATTTTCAATTTGACTTTTGAGTTCAAGAAGTTCTTGTTGTGCATTCAATAGTTCAGCTGCAAGTGCATCACGTCTAGGTAAATATCAACGAAAAAAATTTACAAGTAAAATATAGAAAATAAATAGATAATAAAAAAGGAATTATTACTTTGAATTAGAATATCCATATAAGAGAACAGCTACAATTAAATTATTCTGTCCATCAATGAATTTGTGTTTATCTAACTTTTCTGAAAGAAAAACCCATCTGCAAATAAACAACGTTATTTCGTAAATAAATTATTTGATTACTGATTCAGGTCAATATACTAGTACAGTTAACATAAATTGTTGAAAAAAAACACTAAATCAAATTCGTGTTCATTGCTATTTACTAGAACATTTATATTTGTGAACACTTCAATGTAATAATCATGTTTAATTGCAAACAAACAAAACTCTTATTAGGATTACTTACTCTGAACGAACAAGTTGACATTCCATTTCATAATTAGCAAGTGGAATATCTTGCACATTAGTTGAACTGGACATACGAAGAGGCTAAGTAAAGAAAAAAATTAAGTAAAAATACATTGAATAAGTATTGGACCTAATCAAACAGAATACTAGAAGTTATTTGTATTATAATTTCGCCAATCATTTTTATTTATTCTGTTAACTCTTATGAGAGTGTGATAGATTATTGTGAACTAAGGAGTCGGATTTTTTATTATGCAGTTAAATTTTTAAATTTTGAATAAGATAAATTTGGATTTGGTTCGAAATTGCGAACGAGTGTTTTAGAATATAAAATTATTTTTAATAAAAATCGGTCTATAAGATGTCTGCTGAAAATCACTAAGGAAGCCCGTTAAAGGAGACAAATCTTAACGATAAAATTCATTAACTCATTCATCAGATATTTGGCTACAAGCCAAACTCGAAGAGTGAGGGTTATTGATGCTACTCAGTTGCCTAAACCAAGGTAGATGGAGAGGAATTCAAACCTGAGACCTACTAATTATAAGGCAAACGTCTTGACTACAGAGTTACTACCCTACAAAAGTACCTTTTGCCCCTGAATGAGCTTGAATCAAAAACCGTTTGGTCAACAGCAGAACGTATTCATCCACTGAGTCAATGATTAATCGAGTTATAATAGTTTAGAAGATATTAATAATTATTTAAGAACTATTAGTGAAACGGCCTAATCAAAAAGGAATCTAAAATGACACTATTTTCTCATTCCAAAATTGTTAGTCATTTCAACTAGATTAAATAAACGAAAAAGAAACATTATAAATTAGTGAAAGTAAAATCCACACTTGTTTTTTGGTCATATTTATTGACAAACATTTCAACGCTTATCTTCACAATCCATTCGTAAGTGTATTTTAATGCACATCTTAAAAATATAACAGAGATGAAAATGAAAATTTAAAGAAATAAGCCATTAAGAATCATAATACCATTTTACTGTCAAAACTATGGTAAACACAATAGTAGAATAAGTAGTCAATTTAAAAAAAAAAACAACCTGATCTGGAAACAATAGAAATAATAAAACTAGATAGATAAGCATCAATGCGAAAAGAATGTCTATGTATCTACCTTAGTGTTATTTGTTAAGTATATTTATTGTGCATATGATAAACAATCACTAGTAGTAATAATGCGGATAAATGTTTTCGGTATTCATGTTCATTGATTACTTGAAAAAGGTTTTCTTAAATGAGCATTATGAAAAATAATAATAAATTTAAATTTATTTGAAATAAATGATCTTTTGATGATTTTGTCGTGTTAACTTATCGGAATGTTAATATTTTGTTAATTAAATGTAGCTTCTTCGTACAAATAAGTAATATTGTAGTGAACAAGAACACCAGTGGGAACAATCGAATGTATTGAACACAAAATTACAGGACTTGTTAATAAAATCTAATAATCATAAAGTAAATGCTTAATTTGCAAAATGTCCACCAATTGTCTCAAAATGACTCAGACTTCATTGTTCTTGCATTTTCATACAAATTGCATCCTATTTCCGTTCTTTACTGTTCGATTCTCTTGTCTCTCTGCTGCCAAACCTTCTGTTCACGACTAACATCATATACTACTTATGTCAATATAAGTAGCATACACCACAATATTATTAGTTATGTTCAAGTTGTTCTAGAAATGTCTTTATTATCATAGATACACATTTCAAGCAAGAGTTTATTCTATATTTTGATTAAATCCACTTCCGTTCTAAATTTTTATCAAAAATTATTGTTCTATAGGAAGTTGAAATAATTGATTTTATCAGATTTATGCTGTATGTTGTTTGCGCATAATTTTCACATGAACGATGTTACCTTAATTATTTATTGTTTAACTTTATAATTATAAATGTTTCATATACGAAATTATTACTAGTAGCGAAATGCTTCAACAGAAATTTATTACGGGTAAAGAAATACACCCTGCTTCGGTTTGAGCACCCGGGCAGTATCCCAGCCCTCACATAAATCGAATGACTTATGTGGCGCATATTTGTTTGGTGCCTCCTTGTACCAATGTTTATGTGTTTAAATAAATAAATAAATAAATAGTAAATAAAGAAATACACAGTTGGTCTAACTAATGTAATTTTTTTATTTCTAATCTATTGCCAAAGAAAAAAGCCTGTTGGAGGATGTCCAGATTTGTAAAAGCTATAAAATACATTGTGCTATAATACATTCATGAAAAAATTGCGTAACACGACATCAGTTACAAAATTTGGTTAGTATCATCATTCTACTGAACAAAAGTAAAGATAACTCATGAAACAAAGAACGATCACAGTATTTTCAACAATATTATTTACTTAGACATTATGTTTAATCATTTAACCAAGTGTTATTATTATTATTATTATTGTCATGACTTTATGTCCAGCTTTTCATCACGTGATTTGTCCACCAATCAAAATACGACTTATACAATCTTAGCACTATGCCAAACCAATGACATTCGACCGGTATGAGCAACCTAGCGTCCTTATTGGTCCTATGTCCGCCTAGCCCCTCCACTTGAGTCCAGAACACCAATACCAGCTTCCAATATGCGAATCGAATCATTTATTTCAGACATACTCGGTTTATATATCAAGCAAACAGACCGCAACGTACCATAAAATAGGAAATAACATTTGTACACAATAAGGCCAAAAAGTGGCTGTGAACGTGGGAGGCAGTAAGTCAATAAACTGAACATAGCTTAAGAACCGTAAATCGTACAATAATAAATTATAGGTCAAAATAAAGCTTATAATAAGAAGAATATAAATATACATAATCTATTTATTATATAATTATACCATAAGAATGTACAGATAATATTAGTCAATTATTATGTCTCAGAAGTTACTCGTGATTTAATCTTCACTCGGATATAACAGTTATTATTATAAAGTACAGAATGGATATAACCTTAATTTCTGTAACTTATACAATTAACAGTCAGAGTAGAAAAAATATAATATTACTGGAAATTGGGATATACTGTGTAATCATACTGGAATTACTTACTTCAATTGTTTCTGCTTTTTTCTCATCTGACATTACTGTATCTTTAGATAAGTTTGATGATGTAGGCTGTTCTGGAATATCAATCCTCAAATCTTTCAGCAGTCCACGTAAATCAGTCAATACAGAACGTAATGAGCCCAAACGAAAATCCATTTCAACCATGGCCAATTCATCAGGAGTATGCGTACCAGCTTTACTACAAGATTCTTGTTTCGTTCCAGTAAGAGCACATAATTCCACACACATTCGGTTCATCTGCTGATAAATCTGAAATTATTTTTTGAAATAATCATTGAATAACAAACTGTAGTTCGATTTTTAAATGGGCGGCTAGGCGCCAAAATATCTTAGAAGGAAGCTATTCATAATACGAACAAAATGGACTGTTTTGCAGTTTTAAAACGTAAAATTTTAGATACGAACGTACCTCTAAAAAGTACATTTTTCCAGAAAGTCAACTGATTGTTGCCTAATAGTATAAATGAAGTTTACTAACATTGCGAACATATTACTCGCAAGAAAAATTAAAAGCTTATCGCATACTGAAATTTGATATTAATTGATCGTTTCGAATGAAAATAAAAGATTTACAATGACTAAGTTCGGAAAATATAGAACCAACCAGAACCCATTTTTAAAATTTACTGGTTGAGTTATACCGCCAAGATTACGATATAATTGCAAAATTCTATGAGAACTGACAATGCTTTTTAAACGAAGTTTTACGTTATTTAGGTATTTACACTTACATTTTAACAGGAAATTACTTATTAAGAAAAGTGTTAGAACAAGATGTTATGACCAGTTTTCATGTGTTACCTACTTTGCGTTAAAGTGAATATCTTAAATGTAGAACTGAAATTGGTTTCATTAATTTTTTTATTTCGGTAAATCTATAGGTTTCAGAGCAAGAGACTATAGTTCAGCTTACTTCAAACAGTACAATATCAACAGTTTTTGTATTTTCAGCGTTAAGCACTTATGAAAAATGCAAAATAAAAATAAAGCACTAATAAATTTTTTCTGCAAACAATGAAATGCATTTAAAAGAAACCTACTTCCGTTACTTCCGATCTCAGCTCGTTTATAAATGTTTCCTTCGTATTCACATTAGAAGATTCCAATGGAATATTGTGTGAATCAGACGGTACCAAACTATCTGAAATAATATCCTGATTAAAACATGATAAGTAAGCCATGTATGTATCGTCATCCATTTCAAACTCCACATTGTCATCATCCTCCAGAGTAAATGGCGAACAATTATAATTCTGAAAGATTAATGCAATATAATGTATAGTTTTGCAAAGCTTTCACATAAAACTCACATATTAACAGTGAAAAGACTAATTTCTTCTAATAACTCACATGCGTAACTTGAAAACTAAAATCAACACTGCTTCCTGAAGATATCTATTGTTAATAAAATTAAAGAAAATTGATAGATCCACCAAGTTACTAACCGAAAAAGTATGAAATCCCAGTCATGTGTATAATTTTAAAACAAAAGTTCTATCAGCAGTTTGGGAAAAATAACATGCGAAATGAAACCACAACCAGTAATAAAGCAAGAAACAGTCTAGGTCGTTCCTCAAAAATCCGCTTTCTTCGAATACTGATTAATGCTAAATGGAGACGTTGACTTACTATCAAGTTTCACCTATATACCAAATTACATGGGGATTGTTTTAATGCCTTGGCGCTTCATCGTAATTGAATCACAAAAGGCTTTTCGTTGTTTTAATTTTATATACTTGAAATCATAATTATGAGACACAAAAGATGCCTTACTAATCGTTTGAACAGCTTTGAAAACGAATTCGCCGAAAAGAGAACTCTTCGCTGAACAAATCTTTTTTGTTTAGTGTCTTAACGGGTGTATTCCATTTATTGAACATAATCTCACCATTCCAGTAAACATTTCTGAGTAAGCCATCAAATACAGTTATTCAGATAGCTTTTCTTGATAACTGGAAAGTAAATGAAGATAACTCCTTATCCTAATTTCAACAAAGCTACACATCCTGTCATTTCGTCATTCGTTTCTCTACAAAGAGACTGTACTCAATATAATTATATGTTAAATGTCAGCATGTGCCTATTAGACGAAGATAATAATAGTATCTATTTACACTGTAAATCATACTGGATCAAAAACTCTTTCAATCAAGTAGACCTATAAAATGAAAATAATACTTCTATATTTTAGTGATAATTCCTATTTAATAATAAAATCTCCAGCATGTGATCATATTTATTTTTTCGATTTGTACCTTGTATTAAATTATGCATTGATCTCTATTTAGAGAAACTAGTTATTTACTCTCAGAGTTTTGTATTTAATTTTACAGACTACTCTATCCTAAATGATCTAAACATCAAAATAATGGATTTAAACGTCTGTAATTTTTGTTTTTCTTTAATGAACGAGAATAACAGTATTGATCGGAAAATGTAATATTTTCTTACTGTCTGATAGAAATCTTTATTCATATGTATAGACGGATCGATAATATTTACTTCATATTTCGAATGTTGATTTTTTTTATTGTTGAAAAAAAAAACGGGATAAACAAGCGGAATTAAGTCTAAAATAAAATATTTCAACAGTTGAAATCATGAGTCAATTGAAGCTAGACCACCATGGAAAACCTGGAAGCACTAAACAGCCGTTTCGTCCTATAGTGGGACTCCGGGTCAGTTGTGAGGTAGTAACTCACTGGTGACAATAGTGGGTGTGTCGCTCAATTTCGTGGATTAGTTGAAGTTAGACATTAACACCGCTGGATGCCGGCTCAGTGGTCTAGTTGGTTAGGCGCCTGGCGCGGAACTGATAGGCCCTGGGTTCGAATCCCGCGAGGCGGAGTCGAGGATGCGCATTGTTGAGGGGTCCTACAATAGGACGGGACGGCCGTCCAGTGCTCCCAGGTTTTCTGTGGTGGTCTAGCTTCAATTGACTCATAATCTCAACTGTTCAAATTACTACAATTTCCACAAAACCCTTTCTGATACTAAGATAAACAAATTTATTATAGTTCTAGATTATTATGTATCTTCTTTCTTTTCATTTGTGTTAACGATCAGGAAACTTGTAACGATCATACATTGTTGGAAACATGCTTAATTTTTACCACATTAATCAAAATCTATAATGATTTACAGATAGTTGGGCCAGAGAATTTCATGATTCAAAATTATAACTTAGGATTTTGTAAATCATAATAGGTAATATTAAGTTACTTATTAAAAACTAGTATAGTGAAGGAGCTGAAAACAAACCCAGTCAGTCGGTCAGAAACAACGTAGAACTTCGTACATACGTACGTATTTTCGAGTTGCCAACCACATTAGCACAGAGATGCAGTTGTCGATTCAAATCCCGTAGTGGTAGAGATAGTAAAAGTATAGGCAGTAATAGGAAAGACTAGCGTTTGAAGATGTCATCACATTGATGAAAATATGAAGTAAAAAGAGGGCAAAGTGCTTAAGTAGCTTTTATACTATTTCCTTATAATATGTAGCGTTATTAACTACAGACAATTCATCCCACCTAGTTGAAATCTCATATTAATGGGTTATGGTTTTTCACTAAAACCTAAAGGCCAATAAATACAGTTTCAAATGTCAAAAGATCATTTTCAAAGTTGAATCTCATTTCATTTGTCTTATGGATGAATCATAGTCAGATAAATTATGAAATCTGTTAGATTATCAATCATCCAAGATCAAAAGAAATCAAACATACAGATGCTGAAGAGTAATCCAATCTCCATAATATGCCCCTGGTGAAAACAGCTAACAAAAAAATAGGTTTGCAGAACTGAAAAAAATGTTGGTAGAAATAGTTTGAGTCGAATTTTACTGGTGAGTTACCTCAGAACAGAACTTGTCGAAATCTGGTAAAGATGTTTTTAAATTAAGACCTTAATTACAGAGCGTTATCAACTGTTTAAAATAGATTCCGGTGTTAATGAACGTCTCCGCTTTCACATACTCAAGATCATGAGTATATGGTTAGTTAAAACGGTTTGGGAAGTTCCCCATTATACCACACATCTATTTACATATGAATTTCATAATCTTTGAACAATATGGAAGTGGAATAGTAATCAAACCTAAAACTTGATGCAACCAATCCCCGATTGATATTACACTATAAATTTGTAAGTTTATTTTCATTTCACTTTCATTATCTCATGATCTGCCTTGAATCATGACGGGTAGATATCGGTTACTTAACCTGATTTTTTTTAAAAGCTCATTTATGTTCAGAAGAGAAACACATCAGAAAATCTTACAGTGGCAAATACTAATCCTATCACTATTACCTCTCGTGCTTAATTTCAGCTCAGAAACAGTAGTTTTAAACCTGACTTAGATTCTATCACACTATTCTGCCTCGATCAAAACGATACAACAAACACATTTTCAGAAGAGACCAACTTCTTATCAATATTATCAGAAAATAAACCCATTCAATCAACCTGGTGATGGGTCACGTGCACATAAGTCGCCATGATAATACTTTTTACACACATTTTGGTTGGTTAAGTCTGTCTAACAAAACAGAATATGTTGACCACTTTTAGTGGGTCAAACCCCCTAAATTTAATATGACTCTAATTTTTTACCAGTGCAAATTTAGTTTTACTGAAATCTAATGAAACTATCAGCGGTCTTCATCTTTCTCTTTCCGTGCAAATTTAGATGCTCACCCAGATAAAAATAGGTTATAAGCTAATGAAACATGTTTTTCAGGTACTAAACTGTTTATAATGAGTTAAAGTTCATTACTGATTACAAAGACATTAATTCAAAAATGATTATATTAGGCGATGCTGCAGTCAGCCAGTCATCTACAGCGTAGGACCAGGCACACATGCATCGCTCCAAGGTGCCACACCTCATTAGTACAAGATGAACACCAAATCCATAGTAGTTACTTAGATGGTATGTATATATTAGATTGCATATAGGGATATGAACAGTCGCCTATGTGCTATTCGGATAAGGATACACGTCGTTGCTTTTTCGTCCTTTCTGACTACGCTCTCACTGACTGCAGCCCGGATGAAGTGAAAGATGACTTTTACATAAAGCTTTCTGAACGTCTTCATAAAATTAAACGCTCAGAAGTAGTACTCTTATTATTTATTTATTTATTTGAACACATGAATATTGGTACAAGAGAGCGCTAATATATATGCGCCACACAAAACAATGAGAATTCGAAGAGAAATAGAAAAAAAAGCTAAGGAGCGCAAAAAAAGATAACAATAACGAGGAGATTGGTGTAAGGTAGTATGGTAGAAATGAGGGAACGGAAAGGTACAATCAGAAGAAATCTTTCAGGTAAAGGAGACACAACCACTTTTTATGAAGAAAGTAAAAGAAGGTTACAGCAGGATCGCCACTGGCTTCTATTCTGAGCCATATCTGATAACGTCTTTAGCCACTGTGTACTCTTATTAAGTAACTTTAATGCCCAGGTAGGTAGCCTAAACCAAACAGAAATACATCAAGGTGCGTATTTTAATATTCCGTCTCAGCGAACAGATAATGGTAGATGCAGACTACTTGGTTGGGGTCCATGTGACTATCGTAAACAATGGTCGGAGACTCTGGGTGACATGGCTCAGAACCGATCACAATGGCGTCGATATATACACAATTTGTGTTCCCTTAAGCCATGAAATTAAAATTGATTTGTACATTGCTTTCTACGAGTCAATCCTTTCTCTTTGTATTATATTCTTATACATAATCTTTCTTTCATACATTAATACCATCGAAGTAACTACTTCTAACTCCAACTGTAAATTACATATAGGATGGGAATCTCGTGAATCCAGGATCTTCAAAACATAGAGGTGTCACGATGAATGTTATCCAATGTTATGCGCCCACCAATGATAGCAACGATGATAATAAAGATCAGTTCTACGAGAGGCTGCAATCAATCATAGCGAAGTGCCCAAGAAAGGACCTAACAATCCCGATGGGAGGTCTTAACGCCAAAGTCGGGGATGAACAAAAACGGATATGAAGGTATCACGGACAACATGGACTGGGAGAAAGGAACGAGAATGGCGAGAGATTTGCAAATCTGTGTTCATTCAACAAACTGATTATAGGTGGCTGGTATGTCTTGTTGTTTGAATGCTACTTTTTCATATCTGATCGTCGCAAATTGCTGTGTATGAAACGCTTACCATTTATACTCGAGACGAGGGACCTCTGCAATTCCCACGACGCGAAAGTAAAAAAACAAAGACTAGTACAAGTGAAAATTTATTAACCCCCAAAACTCGACGACCCTAGTCGAAAATACACTCATTTATATATTGATTATACATATACTTTGATAAGTAATTAGGATGAAATTGCATATATAAACAATACTCAGTTATAAAAAATCATTTGCTGACCATAGTTCATGTCCACTGAATACAAGAACACTGTGTTATACAGAATAAAATATCATACGAGAAAACAAAACCCAATACTGCACTGAATAATCATCACATTGAATCAAGACGGAAGTAATATTGAACAAAACTAACAATGAGTAAACCAATCGAAATTTTGACTTTTCTTTCCATCATATCAGTGGCACAATATTCCCACACAAGCGCATACACAAAGCTACATGGGTCTCACTGGATTACACCACAGAGAACCAGTTCATATCTGCATCATTAGAAAATTTAGAGTGGAAGACGTGAGAACCACCACCTAGTTGTGGCCAAGATGAGACTGGAGCTAAAGAAAAGCTGAACAGCTGAGATACTAACAAACTCAATCAATTCAAGATAACTCTTAACAACAGGTTCCAAGATTTACGGGATCTACTGAAAGGAGAAACTACAACTAGAAAGGGTTCAAAGAAAAACTAACTTCAACGTGTCAGGAGATGCTGGGCCGTAACAAGCATCATCATAAGGAATTGATTTCTATCAAAACCCTGGGCACGATTCAAGAGAGGAAGAACAAGGAGACAACAATCAACAACAGCTAGATAAAGCGAACGCATAGCCCTGAAGTTAGACATAGAAGTAACTGCAAACATGCCGCACGTTCTATTCAGGAAGATTTACGAGGAATAACAAGTGCTGATAAACTGTAAAGAATGACACCTTATCATGATACAAAAGAAAAGAGATCTAAGTAAATGTGAGAACTAGAGGCATCACATTACTGTCAGTATCAGGAAAGGTATTCAACTTTGTTACTGAACCGGATGAAAGACTCAGCAGACGCCCGACTTCGAAATCAATAGACTGAATTCCTTAGGGATCGGTCGTGCACAAACCAAATCACGACGCTGCGGATCAGCGTTGAACAATCAGTTGAGTGCAACTCACCACTATACATCAACTTCTTTGACAATGAGAAGGCATTTGACAGTGTGGACAGGAGAACCTTATGGAACCTTCTTCGACACTATGTTGTACTTGAGAAGATCCCCAACATCATCCGAAATTCTTATGATAGACTACAGTACAAAGTCGTGCATGGAAGACAGTTCACAGACCCTTTACAAATAAGAACCAAAGTCAGACAAGACTACTGACTCTCTTCCTTTCTTTTGGTGGTTGACTGGATTATGAAGACCTTCATATGTGAGAGGAAGCACAGAATACAATGGACAGCTCGGGATCAATTAGATGATTTGGATTTCTCAGATGACCTAGCCCTCCTATCCCATACACACGAACAAATGCAGATGAAGACAACTAGTGTAGCAGCAGTCCCTGCATCAGTAGGCCTCAATATACACAAAGGAAAAGGCAACATCCTCAAATGCAACACGGAGGACACCAACTTAATCACACTGGATGGAGACTCTGGAACACGTGAAAAATTCACATATCTGGGCAGCGTAATCGACGAACATGGAGGATTTGATGCATATGTGAATGCAAGGATTGGCAAAACAAGGGTAGCATGTCTACAATTGAAGAATATATAGAACTCAAAACAACTATCGGCCAACATCAAAGTTACAATCTTCAATACGAACGTCAAGACCGTTCTACTGTACAGAGCTGAAACTTGGAGAATCACTACAAGCATCATCAAGAAGATAAAGGTATTCATTAACAGTTGTCTACACGAGATACTCAATATCCGTTGGCCGGATACTATCAGCAACAGCCTACTGTGGGATAGGACAAACCAGCTGATGAGGAAATCAGGAAAAGACGTTGGAAGTGGACAGGACAAACATTGAGGAAATCACCAAACTGCATCATAAGGCAAGCCCTCACTTGGAATCCTGAAATGAACGTAAAAGACGAAGGCCGAAGAACACACTACGTCGGGAACTGGAAGCAGACATTGTGGTGATGGTTACTTATATTCACATAAGTAGTATATAACGGTGGTCAGGCATAGAATGTGTTTCAGTAGAAGATCGATAGGGAAAGAACGGAAACGGAACGCAATTGGTATGAAAATGCATGGAACAATAAAATCTGAGTTAATGGACTGATATTTGCACGAAGAACAGTCAAGTTTGAGACGATGGATTGATATTTTGCAACTTAACTATTTGCTATATGGTTCTCAGATTTTAGTGAGATGCTCTGTGATTTCATGTCAAACACATCCGATTATCCCCGCTCATATTCTTGTTCACTACAACATGAAAAGGATGAATAGCAACTGGAAAGAACTGGAAAGGAATTCCCACGACAGGGTTGGATGAGGTGTGCTGGTGGACGCCTATACTACTCCACAAGGGGTGACAAGCTTAAGTAACTACTTCTATGAATTTGGTGTTCAACTTGTTGTACTAACGAGGTGTGGCAACTTGGATCGATGCATATATGTGACTGGTCCTACATTGTAGCTGACTGTTTATAATGATATGATACAGGGAGAAAGAATTAGTTCGTAAAAATAAAGGTAAAAATTAATTCAAATCTAACGTGTTAAGCGAAGAAAAGGAGTCTATATACTCACGCTAATGTGAATGATTATGAGCCATATCACCCAGAGTCTCCAACCACTGGTCATAATAGTCACATGAACCCCAACCAAGTAGTCTGCATCTACCAACACGGCTCAGATCAGAAGAGTTAGTGACTTCATGGACTGATGCCACGTTTTGGTTCATCCGCCCCTAACTTTCTTCCGACCGTCTTCAACAATAGTCAGCACTGAGCGCCGTGGCGATGCTGCAGTCTTTTGTTGAAAACTTTTATCAATAAGATCAGTCATTGGATGACAAACAACAGGAAATTTTGACTATGATTAGCAATTTCTAAAGTAAAATATCAACACACACCCGCTAACTACTGTCATACCCCAACAAAAGTAAATAAAACGTAATATATAACAAAAATCATTAGTCCGATCCAACGTATAAAAAAATCAATATTATGAAAATGCATTGATAAGACATTATTTTTAGAGTAAAAACGTTAGTATGAGAAAGTTGAAATATATAACATCCCTATCTGAAGCCTTTCTGATATGGATTAAATGATTTAGCTTTATCCTAATAAATCATGTCAGTTATTTCACATGATAGGAACATAATAATGGTTTGCTCACATAATAAAGCACTCTTGTGCTAGCTGTTACCAGTTATTTAACTAAATAATAATTTGATAGTTCTTGAAGGTTACCAATATCATATGTAATATAAACATTCACAGAATGAGTTAAATAAGAGATGCAAAAGGCCTTAGTCATTTAACTTCACGTTGGAAATAAGACTTAGATCGTGACCTAATTTAGTTATAATCATTTTGTTCTATATTACTTATAACCGACCACATACGATTTAGTCTATGGTGTTTTTATTAATCCTTAGCATTTCGAGTGTGTACTTTTTTGGGAACTATATCGACTAAAACGTTTCTACTTACATTGTCTAAAAATGTATAGCTAATGGTAAAATCTAGTATTGTATGCACAGTAATAACAAAATAACACCATACAAAATTTGTGAGTTAATCAAAGATTATGTATCACAAAACTATTCACTGTGATCACAAATGTTTACCTCTGCTTGAATCATTTTTTGCTCAGCCAGTTCAGCCATTAAAGAACGATGTGGTTGAGAGTCTACTGGTTTCACGCGATCATCCTCATTACTACTAGATTTCTGTTCACCTGTTTGGATCGACAATTTATGGAGCCGGTTGTGAAGTATACTAGCTGTCTCTTGAAGTCTTGTAATCTCTGCGTCTTGAATATTTATCTAAAAACTATACTAACGAAATTGAAAACATACGGTAGCGATGTGTTCGTTATTCACATGTCTCATCATTCTTATTTCTTGATAAGAATCATTGAGTGACTGTAGAAGGCTATTTCTTTCCTCCACAACGGTGTTTAACTGGTTTTCTAAGTGATGTTTCTCCTCACGTAATTTAGTGATCTAAAATTATTATAACAGTATTACGAAACTAACTTCTTGTCTCAAAGACTCGATTGACTGAACATGTTCTTGCATAGACGACTTGTGCTTTAAAAATTCCAACCTCAAGGTAGACATTTCCTCTCTTAAAAGAGCTTCATTCTCACTGGAAGTATTAAGCCGACAAGTTAAAGATTGATTCTGTTGCATTAGCTCCGATATAGTAGTATTTTTCTCACGTTCCATCTGTCTACACATTTTCTTTTCCTTTTTTAGGTCTATACGCATGGCAATTATATCCGTCTGTAGTTCTTTTACTTGAGCATCATAATCACTCTCAACGGCCTCCAGACGAAGCTTGAGAATCCGACGTTCTTTTTCCAGGCTCTAACAATGTTTTGTTATATTGCAAATCACTTACATGGATTTTCTGCAGCAGGGATTCCAGTACTTCACCATCACTATTGTGACAGTTATTACTATGTAGCAGATATGAAGACATCCCCTCGTTCCCGGTGCACAGGAGATCAACATTTGAAGAATTCATTGGATTACAGACGCTAAATGACACAATTACTTCTCATATGTACTCACTTAAGTATAATGACTATGGCAGCTGAATTAAAACATATATCGTAAAATTATCTGGACAAATGTAATGTCTTTCTTTTGATCGGTTTTCGTATAGATTAGAGATAATTCGTATACGGAGGAAGTGTTCAAAGTAGTACCAATCTAAAAGAGTAAAGAACAAAACAGAAATTGACCGCGAAGTTCAACAACCACATAAGACGAGCTTGTGTCTATTAGTGAATGAAGTCAATCGAAATTAGCAATGACGAAAGCTCAAAAATAAACGAAATAATAATCAGAACAAGAATTTTAGAGAGCTATAATTGCCGCAAAATTAAAATGCGCAGATCGATCAGATAGCTGGAATCAATATTAGAAAAATGTAAGTTGAGGTGCCGACGATCTTTCAGCTTTTTAAACAATCAAGCAACAGTAACCACCCAACCATACGTAATGATCTGACCAATCAACAATTTCCAAATCGATAGTTGTGTTTATCGTACCGTTACCAAGACAAAATTCTCTCGCCTCCACAAACGTTTTTATCAAATACGACCAATAACCATAAAACCAAGGATTGAAGAAAAGTTCTCTTTCTACTGTCGATAAACCTATCTAACACAGACTTTTAAAGTTTCGCTTGACAATAACCAGGGAAGTTAACCTCTAACAATTCTTGATAGCTCAAGACAAATGCAGCAAACTTTTCTTTGACAGTTTTTTTAACATAGAGATGTCCTCTTTTTGGCATAGCTAGGTATTCTAATGATCTAAATATTATTATTCCAGTGGAATGCTTATTTACATATTTAACTGGTAAAATCTTGGGTCTTGATTGTACAATTGATGGTGTTCAGAAAAAACAGTAATAATTCTTCTGGATTGATAAATTTTACAGTTTTAATTGTGATCTAACGCGCAAAGGCTTCCCTTTAATGACCAATTGAATTAATTTTCAAATAAAGTATAATAAAATTATGAGTCTAAAGACAGTGTCACATTTATATCAGTGTTTTGGTTTATACTCAGATTGAGAGTGATGAAAAATTACCGTGTCTTGTACTGAGTGGATAAAATACTTCACTTATGAAACAGCTTTGTCGTACTCTTTTTACTAATATGGTACAAATCTTTTGATGTTGTAGTGTTCATGGTGGTCGTCAAAAAATTAAGGAAAGTAATGAGACCTACATGTGTTTTGCAAAATCGGACTGTGGAGATGAGAGTTTAAGGAACAAAACATCACAGCTTGTCAAAATAAATTTCACACAGAGGGTAGTAATTTTTCACAACAGAATCTTCTGTAAAAGAACCAGACCCTATGTTTGAAAGCACAATAAGTCATAATAGGTAACTAATAAGCAAGCTACTCTCGGAAATAACAGAATAGGACAGGTGGATTCTGAAAGTACGCAAGCAAGCCGCCTTCTGTATTATTTTGCTGCCGCTGATAAAAGTTCTAAACTTGAATTTATAGGTTGGAAAAACTCAAAACCAAACGACCTTCAACCACTCTGGATGATATTAGAAATACGAGATGATTAAAAAAACATATTGCAAGATATTCCTGGAATCATATCTAACAAGTCGCAAGTACATTACCCAGCAGTTGAACATGGAGACCAGTTAATTATGTTACGCCTTATGTGATAAAATTGTTTAATTTTGTTTTTATAACAGGTATTCTCAACTTTGCCTGGCATTACTATTTTGCCGTAAATGTATTTCTCACGTTTGTGGACGTTTTGAGGAATTTTGGAGGAATCCTCAAAGTCAAATGAACTTCACCAAGGTTTGAGGGAAATTTTGAAGTTCTGGCGCCATTTCCCCAAAACTGGGAGATTGTGTTTTTTAATTTGTTCTGAGATTTAAAATATTACCAGAGTTCAACAGAACGACCGAATCGCTGGATTAACTGCTACTGTAAAAGCCTTCAGCTTCAAAAACACGTTTAGAGCTTATTAAACATGTGACTAGCAGTATCTTTCCAACCAAACCTACAGGGCGTATAGAACGTAATAGATAAAACGTCCGATTTCGAACCGTCGTCCTTTGTAAGTTCAATATAACAATGACTACTGAAGCAGTATAACAAAACCTATAAAGCCATTGCCAATAAACAAGACAGTTCAAATATATGTGTCATGCGTAAAACTTTTGATCTTCCGATTTCTTTTGCTTTGAAATCATCATCTACATTGTTTCTCCATTTTCCCAAAGAATATTTTTCTGTTTGATATACAATGATTTAGCTTAATGCTCTTAATTTTAAAATTGCGGTTCATCACCCATCTATCATAGTTTGAAATACTCTGTTTGATTATTTTTTTCTTCAGAACTCTAATAAACGTTTATACTGGTGACAGCACTCAATAAACTGGAGATTTGTTATCATGTAGTAAACTACTTTTATCAAAAGGACGCGATTGGTGTTATGGAAACAATTATTACTTATAACCAATTGTACCAGGAGTTGCTTCACCTACTTGCTTGTTTAATCGTACCAGAATTCATACATTCTTCCACTGATTGTGTCCTGGATTCCACTGCTAGTCACAACCTATCTTTGCTTATAAAGCTTGTGACTTCAGGTATTATCGGGGCAGTCCGCACGGGAAGCATATATGCCAACAAGAGGCTGATCAATTGCAGTCCTAAATGACAATGTAGAGATACAATTAAACAACACCAAGTGAATATAACTTTACCCTATCTCACAAGCATGTGGCTATCGGAACTGAATGGCTAAGTGGATAACGCGATGGCGTTTGAAGCGAATGGTACTGGGTTAGAGTCCTAAAGTGAACATCAACTCTGGGATGTAGGTACGTGCAGCTGACTAGTCCCAAATAGGACGATACTCACGTCCTGGATTCCTCTGCTAGCCACTATCCATCCAGATGTGTTTTGCACTTCTTTTGATTGATTTCCATATAACAATATGTTACATGTAGCATGCCGGTTTACAGGACACATCAGAATATTAAAAAAGTTACGATGTTTACCGTAATAAGTTACACAATTAGTTTGATGTGTAATATTACATATAAACAGGGGGTAAAGTTGAGTACATATAAATATGATTAATGTTATAATTAATCATAATACAAAGTAGATGCGGTCCATTCGTGCAGGCATGAAAAATAGTGTTCAACATGTATTTAAAGATAAGGTAATATCTAAGTAAGGTTATTAAATAAATGAGAACATTATATCTCTACTGTCACACTTCTGCAGTTTACTTTCTTGCATTTTTCATCTTTATAAACACTCAAGATAACCCCACACGTATTTCAAACACAGGCCTTGATTCCCGAAATACCTTGGGCCTTCTGTCTAATTTTACCGCTCCGCCTTCTATTTAGACACTTTTTCCTTCATCTACCTGTTTCAAATATCTTTCACATCAAACCTCGGAAAGACGTGAAAGCCCTTGCTTCCAGGCTTCCAGTCGAATTCAGGAAAGACACTGTCTAACACTACTACGGACACTATATCCATCAGCTATCTGATTCTACTATAAACAGAAAAGCTTGGGGAAACCCTTGACACTCCAGAAATGTTGAATAATCTCTTGGTGAACAATAATGAAAATAGCCACAGCAACCATACGATTGACGTATGAAAGCTGCAAATTGGCATTAACATTCTTAATTTACTTGAGTATCTCATCAACCCTTCGCAGAGATTCTCGATAATAGGAATAATAAAAATTATTTCCTGAATCGTATTGCTTCAAAAAAATTTGAAGGGATAACACGAACCAGTAATGAAAACGTACTTAATATACTGGATACATATGCTCCTAAAAATATCACGTCTAATCTGCCTAAAGCCAACAATATGACAAACGTACAATGCGTGAGCACAAAAATAAAAAATGAAGTCACCGATATTGTCAAAACTCAACACAGCTGCAAACAGATATGAGTTTCCGACTTTCTCGAATACGGTCAGATAAAAACAGAACTTCCGGGACATTACAATAAGCCAGATATAGAACCGTGTCAGCGAAATGCAGGTAAAGCTAGTTGAAGATCACTAACATCAAGATCACTAAAGCGTTCTAATTCTAAAGATCATAAAATTGCGTCTGATTCCGGGATATTCTGTAGAATTTATAGTTTACATCATTATTAGTACTGCTCTCGTGATAGGCCTTATCTTAAGATCAGTCGTGATGTAACTGCTCAGTCTATAAGATCTTACGTGAAAGCCAAACCATTTTTTACACTGACTAATCGTATCGTGACAATCAAAAACTTAAGAAACTCCTCTCTACAGGTATCTTAAGTTGAGAAAGGTCTTGGGGCGTTTTTAATTTAAAATTTGAGGTCTTACGCTAAGTGTTAAAAATGCCTTAAAAGCTAACGTTGCACTGATAAGGTCGAAGCACATTTCGGCCAGTTCAAAGGAATATCTCTCCACATAATCTTCCGCGGTTTTATTCGTCCTCATTTAGAGTACTGAAGCATAATATTTCCTCCCTCACTCCAAAAGGATAAGGACACTCTGGAAAGTATCCAACGGCGAGACATGAAATCAGTTCAGGGACTCAAATTCAAGCCTTACGAAGAGCACCTCTAATAACTGAAACTTTATGCATTGGAGAACAGCGTCTTAAAGGTAACCTAATGGCTTACAGTACCCAAAATACTTCTAGACGCCCCGTTAAACAGTCACTTAATCTTATTCCCAACACAACATCTTGAGGCTAACACCCAGGAACTGGAGACGCAACATACCAGAACGGACTGTAGACACACCTTACTGTATCATATCAATTACCAATACATCATGTAAAATAAGGTTAGGCTAGAGAAGGAACAATATATTTCGTATGAGTAGAAGATACAAGGTAACATTCAGAGGGACCACGTCTGCATGGCCGAGCCATGCCATCCGATTAACTCCAGTCCAACTCCTTATTCGCGCCTTCTCCATCGTTAGGTATTTCTCCGCGTTAAATACTGA